TTAAATAGAATTTGAGTTGTGTTGAAAGAAAGTGGAAAATAGAAAAAGGAAAAAGTAGGAAAGGAAGAATTTGAATTAAAGAGAAGCGGGACGGGAGTTCGAATTGAAATAAAGTGTGTGGTGAAAGGTAGGGATTAAAAAGATGTGGAAGATAAAAGTTGAAATTGAGCGAAAGAGAAATGGAAGATAAAAGATTGAATTGGGATAAAGGAAAATGAAAGATAAGGTAACCTTTGCATTGAAGAAAAGTAAAACATGAAAGTTTAATTTGATCTTATCTTCCTCTTTCCAACAAGTTACTTGTAGAATGGATAAGCACAAATGGACGAAAAATTTTTAAATCTTTTTAATCTTTTAACGATTCAATAATTAGAAAAAAAGATGGTATAATTCTATTTCTAACTTTTCATAATACAACGAGTCTGATGATGAACGTGAAAAAGTATCAGAATCGTTGAAGTCGAAGCAGACGAGTTGAAAAAAACCACGTTAAAAATTCCTGTCTCCGTCTTCATCGACGGTTCACGAGTTCATTCGTTTGTGAATTTATTCTTGTGATTATATATTCACATCGGTTGAAAGGAAACGTTGCTCGAATTTCCTCCAATCTACCTGTGTCCAGTGATTATTCAAATGAAAAAGCTTAAAATCTGCTTCGTGTACAAGTGGAAAAACAAGACAATGAAAAATGGAGGAAATATGAAAGAGAATAAGAGAAAATAAGAGGAAAATAATGAATGGTAGAGAAAGGACAGGAGGGAAGAAATGAAAGAAGATGTATACATTTGCTACGTGCGCAAAAATAAGATGAAAAACATTCGTACGAATACACCTTTACGAGTATTACTGTTAAACGATATTAATGGTGAATCACGATGACACAGAGCATGGTACGTGTCGGTAAGAAAGATTTGGCCAAATAAATTGACGTTTCTTCTTTTAACATTGTTGCTAGAATACTATAATAAAAAAAGCAAATTTGTTGGAAAAAAAATGTTGAAATAACTTATTGCGGAAGAAATTATAAAATGAAAAAAAAAAAAAGCAAATTGAATTTATTTAATTATAATTGAATGAACATTCTGTTAAAGATTAAAGTATATAAATATATATAGATGTATACTTTTCTATATTAAGAGTTTATGAATTTTAAATGTTGTCATTGAATGAGAAATGTTTAAGATAAAAAAAAAAATTACGTATTTAAAAAATAATAAACGTTAAAAATTTTGTAATTGGAAGAAAGTGAGAAAAATATTATTGTTTCTTATATCGGTAGAAATATAACTTTATTATGAAAGCACAATGTGATTGAAAATAGGATAAATAGGATACCAATTAATTTATATATTCTTATTATTATAATTAGTTCAATATATTTGTTTATTATTTTACTTATACTTTTACTAATTTTCATGCTTATTTTTATTATATATTTATTATTATATTTTATACTTGGTATTATTAAATTAATTCACACATAATAATAATAATAATAAACATTTTATTATTATCTGGTTTCTAATTTTAGAGATAATTTAAAAAATAATAAAGATAAAATATATTTCATGCAATATGGAAAAAAATCGAAAAGTTTACATTTCATTCACTGGTTTTCACTGAATATATATACGTATTCAATTTTACGTTGAATTTCAAATTCCTGGTCATGCAAAAATTTCTATAAAGTTTAATGTTATCTTTCAATTTCTCGCACATAATACAAATTAAATATCTGAAATTCGTATGAAAACTACATGGATTCGGCTGATGTTTGACATTAACATTATGAAACGAATCATTATTTAAACATTATTTCCATTAAAATGCATCACAAATGCATGAAATATCAAATTTAATTTATTGTTACATTTCGAAAAGATAAAATTAAATACACAACATGTATAGTTTATTCTCCATTCAAAAGGAATGTATCATTGTGTATTAAATTATTAAAAAATAAAGGTATAATGTCGTTTCAAGATAAGATTATTAACTCGAAGAATATTATATAAAAATATAATTTTCATACAATATAACATGTACAACATGTATAATCTATTTATCTTACGTTAGATCTGTTTATTCTCTGTTAGTTTTCGTGAAAACTCGAGTTTCGAGTTTCTAAATTTTGACGAAGTCTGATATTTCTTCATACTGTTATTTCAAGAAATTTTATTATCTATAAAATTGAATTGTCCCCCTTGGATCCATCACCAATCCATTTCATTCCGTATCGTAACTTTTACCAGACAGTTTCAAGTTATAATTAAACGCGTAACTTTTCACGCGATATTTCAAAAAATCATCATAATCTTACTCGTAATCGTTTATAAAAATTTAATAAGAAAAATCTACTCGTCGCTGTTAGATCAATTGATTTTCTCCTAGCTTTTATCAAACGAATTTTTCAAAATGTTATTGAAGCGTAATAATTCTTCGCACGTTTCATTTCAAAAACATTATTATCTGTTATTTATGAAAAATTTTCTCATATTTCAAGAAACGTTATTCCTTTTTATATATACTTATAACAAGACACTTACTTATTTTTTTTTACGATCACGTGGAATAACTTTTTTTCAATAATTTTTTTCAATCCAATTTATTTATTTATTATTTAAATCACTTTTCATCTCTTCGTTCTTAATATTTTGTTTAAAAAAGACTAAACGAAATGATGAAAATTAACACACACACACACATGTGATAATAATAGAGAATAAAAATATTCTCTAAAAATAATATTCATCGCGTAAATCATCTCGGAGAAAAGAAAAATCGTGTTATTTTTTTATAATTAAATGAAAGATGATATCTAAAAGCACTCTGTAAAATATCTTTGTATAAAATTATATATTTTTCTGTTATCTAAGGTTACGTTCTCTTATCCACAGCCTTAACAATGAAGGACATTGAAATTATCGCGCAACAGCGTAGAGATAGACGAGAAAAAGAACGAATGCTTGAACCCACCGCTCCAAAAATTCGTCGTTTCTGTAGAAAAAAATAATTGTTTCGTTAATCGAATGTTTATCGAACAAAATGAACGTGTCGAAAAATGAATCGAACGATATTGGATGCGGGCAATTAAGAGTTTCCAGTCTATTTGAAACGAATTGAAAACGAGTTTAAAAGC